GTTTTCTAATTATACAATCATGTCATCTGCAAACAGAGACAATTTGAATTCCTCTTTTCCTAATCGAATTGAATAACCTTTATTTCTTTCTTCTGCCTGATTGCCCTGGCCAGAACTTCCAACACTATGTTGAATAGGAGTGGTGAGAGAGGGCATCCCTGTCTTGTGCCAGTTTTCAAAGTGAATGCTTCCAGTTTTTGCCCATTCAGTATGGTATTGGCTGTGAGTTTGTCATAAATAGCTCTTATCATTTTGAAATACGTTCCATCAATACAGAATTTATTGAGAGTTTTTAGCATAAAGGGCTATTGAATTTTGTCAAGGGCCTTTTCTGCATCTATTGAGATAATCAAGTGGTTTTTGGCTTTGGTTCTGTTTATATGGTGGATTACATTTATTGATTTGAGTATGTTGAACCAGCCTTGCATCCCAGGGATGAAGCCCACTTGATCATGGTAGATACGCTTTTTGATGTGCTGCTGGATTCGGTGTGCCAGTATTTTACTGAGGAGTTTTGCATCAATGTTCATCAGGAATATTGGTCTAAAATCCTCTGTTTTGGTTGTGTCTCTGCCAGGCTTTGGTATCAAGATGATGTTGGCCTCACAAAATGAGTTAGGGAGGATTCCCTCTTTTTCTATTGATTGGAATAGTTTCAGAAGGAATGGTACCAGCTCCTCCTTGTACCTCTGGTAGAGTTCGGCTATGAATCTGTCTGGTCCTGGACTGTTTTTGGTTGGTAGGCTATTAATTATTGCCTCAATTTCAGAGCCTGTTATTGGTCTATTCAGGGATTCAATGTCTTTCTGGTTTAGTCTTTGGAGAGTGTATGTGTACAGGAATTTATCAATTTCTTTTAGGTTTTCTAGTTTATTTGCATAGAGGTGTTTATAGCATTCCGTGATGGTAGCTTGTATTTCTGTGGGGTCGGTGGTGATATCCACTTTATCATTTTTTATTGCGTCTATTTGATTCTTCTCTCTTTTCTTCTTTATTAGTCTTGCTAGCAGTCTATCAAGTTTGTTGATCTCTTCAAAAAAACCAGATCCTGGATTCATTGATTTTTTGAAGGGTTTTTTGTGTCTCTATCTCTTTTAGTTCTGCTCTGATCTTAGTTACTTCTTGCCTTCTGCTAGCTTTTGAATGTGTTTGCTCTTGCTTCTCTAGTTCTTTTAATTGTGATGTTAGGGAGTCAATTTTAGATCTGCTTTCTCTTGTGGGCGTTATTGCTGTAAATTTCCCTCTACACACTGCTTTAAATGTGTCCCAGAGATTCTGGTACGTTGTATCTTTATTCTCATTGGTTTCAAAGAACATCTTTATTTCTGACTTCATTTCATTATGTACCCAGTAGTCATTCAGGAGAAGGTTGTTCAGTTTCCATGTAGTTGAGTGGTTTTGAGTGAGTTTCTTAATCCTGAGTTCTAGTTTGATTGCACTGTGGTCTGAGAGACAGTTTGTTACAATTTCTGTTCTTTTACATTCACTGAGGAGAGCTTTATTTCCAACTATGTGGTCAATTTTGGAATAAGTGCAATGTGGTGCTGAGAAGAATGTATATTCTGTTGATTTGGGGTGGAGAGTTCTGTAGATGTCTATTAGGTCCGCTTGGTGCAGAGCTGAGTTCAATTTTTGGATATCCTTGTTAACTTTCTGTCTTGTTGATTCGTCTAATGTTGACAGTGGGGTGTTAAAGTCTCCCATTATTATTGTGTGAGAGTCTAAGTCTAAGTCTCTAAGGACTTGCTTCATGAATCTGGGTGCTCCTGTATTGGGTACATAAATATTTAGGATAGTTAGCTCTTCTTGTTGAATTGATTCCTTTACCATTATGTAGTGGCCTTCTTTGTCTCTTTTGATTTTTGTTGGTTTAAAGTCTGTTTTGTCAGAGACTAGGATTGCAACCCCTGCCTTTTTTTTGTTTTCCATTTGCTTGGTAGATCTTCCTCCATTCCCTTTATTTTAAGCCTATGTGTGTCTCTGCACATGAGATGGGTGTCCTGAATACAGCACACTGATGGGTCTTGACTCTTTATCCAATTTGTCAGTCTGTCTTTTAATTGGAGCATTTAGCCCATTTACATTCAAGGTTAATATTGTTATGTGTGAATTTGATCCTGTCTTTATGATGTTAGCTGGTTATTTTGCTAGTTAGTTGATGCAGTTTCTTCCTAACATCATGGTCTTTACATTTTGACATGTCTTTGCAGTGGCTGGTACCGGTTGTTCCTTTCCATGTTTAGTGCTTCCTTCAGGAGCGCTTGTAGGGCAGGCCTGGTGGTAACAAAATCTCTCAGCATTTGCTTGCCTGTAAAGGATTTTATTTCTCCTTCATTTATGAAACTTAGTTTGGCTGGATATGAAATTCTGGGTTGAAAATTTTTTTCTTTAAGAATGTTGAATATTGGCCCCCACTCTCTTCTGGCTTTTAGAGTTTCTGCCAAGAGATTCACTGCTAGTCTGATGGGCTTCCCTTTGTGGGTAACCCGACCTTTCTCTATGGCTGCCCTTAACGTTTTTTCCTTCATTTCAACTTTGGTGAATCTGACAATTATGTGTCTTGGAGTTGCTGTTGCTCTTCTTGAGGATTATCTTTGTGGTGTTCTATGTATGTCCTGAATTTGAATGTTGGCCTGCCTTGCTAGGTTGGGGAAGTTCTCCTGGATAATATCCTGCAGAGTGTTTTCCAACTTGGTTCCATTCTCTCTGTCACTTTCAGGTACACCAATCAGACGTAGATTTGGTCTTTTCACATAGTCCCATATTTCTTGGAGGCTTTGTTCATTTCTTTTTACTCTCTTCTCTCTAAACTTCTCTTCTCACTTCATTTCATTCACGTGATCTTCAACTACTGATACCTTCTTCCAGTTGATTGAATTGGTTACTGAAGCTTGTGCATTTGTCACGTAGTTCTCGTGCCATGGTTTTCAGCTCTATCAGGTCATTTAAGGACTTCTCTACATTGATTATTCTAGTCAGCCATTTGTCTAATCTTTTTTCAAGGTTTTTAGCTTCTTTGTGACGGGTTCAAACTTCCTCCTTTAGCTGGGAGAAGTTTGATCATCTGAAGCCTTCTTCTCTCAATTCATCAATGTCATTCTCTGTCCAGCTTTGTTCCATTGCTGGAGAGGAGCTGCGTTCCTTTTGAAGGGGAGAGGTGCTCTGATTTTTAGAATTTTCAGCTTTCATTCTCTGTTTTTCCCCCATCTTTGTGGTTTTATCTACCTTTGGTCTTTGATGATGGTGACGTACAGATGGGGTTTTGGTGTGGATGCCCTGTTTGTTAGTTTTCCTTCTAACAGTCAGGACCCTCAGCTGCAGGTCTTTTGCTGGAGGTCCACTCCAGACCCTGTTTGCCTGGGTATCAGCAGCAGAGACTGCAGAAGAATGAATACCGCTGAACAGCAAATGTTGCTGCCTGATCATTCCTCTGGAAGCTTTGTCTCAGACGGGCACCCGGCTGTGTGAGGTGTCAGTATGCCCCTGCTCCCAGGGGGTTGCCTCCCAGTTAGGCTACTTAGGGGTCAGGGACCCACTTGAGGAGGCAGTCTATCCGTTCTCAGATCTGAAACTCCGTGCTGGGAGAAGCACTACTCTCTTCAAAGCTGTCAGACAAGGACATTTAAATCTGCAGAGGTTTCTGCTGCCTTTTGTTTGGCTATGCCCTGTTCCCAGAGGTGGAGTCTACAGAGGCAGGCAGGCCTCCTTGTGCTGTGGTGGGCTCCACCCAGTTTGAGCTTCCCAGACACTTTGTTTACCTACTCAAGCCTCAGCAATGGCGGGCGCCCCTCCCACAGCCTCGCTGCCGCCTTACCGTTAGATCTCAGACTGCTGTGCTAGCAATGAGGGAGGCCCTGTGTGTGTGGGACCCTCCGAGCCAGGCGCAGGATATAATCTCCTGGTGTGCCATTTGCTAAGACCCTTGGAAAAGCGTAGTATTAGGGTGGGAGTGACCTGATTTTCCAGGTGCTGTGTGTCACGGTTTCCCTTGGCTAGGAAAGGGAATTTCCTTAGCCCTTGCGCTTCCTGGGTGAGGCGATGCCTCGCCCTGCTTCGGCTCTCGCTCAGTGGGCTGCACTCACTGTCCTGCACCCACTGTCCAACACGCCCCAGTGAGATGAACCCGGTACCTCAGTTGGAAATGCAGAAATCACGCGTCTTCTGTGTCGCTCATGCTGGGAGCTGTATCCTGGAGCCGTTCCTATTCAGCCATCTTGGTGACCCCCCTGTATTGATCTTTTACAAGGTTTTCATGGAAAAAATAATTTACATAAAACTACAGGGATGACATAGTAAAAACGAAAGCATCTGGTATAATCTTATATTCCTTTGGTAAAATAATATGAAAATATAATGGAAACCAACCAGCAAAATGGAGTTGAAATATCACTGGAAAGTGTTAGGAGAACAGATGAAGGTTTTGCAGGTACTTGAAAATGCTTTAGTCCCCAAAGATTGTTTTTCACCTAGACACTGATTATTAATTTACTTTGACTCTAAGTAAAATTACATGTTAGACTTCTGAGAATAACCTTAATTAAAAGTGAGTGTGTCCAACTGTACAAATTACTGTAAGCATGGGAGTTTGGCTAGTGCATTAGATCTCTGGAGCCCTGCTGCTAATCTGAGTGAATAAATTAAGTAGCTTTCCTTCTACTTGCTCCCATAGTCTGGCTAATAAAACCACTTTCTTTGTGAGAAGGAGAGCAGGGATCAAAGTTCTGCTTCTCCCCGTTAAATAAGTCCTGACAAATCAAATGGTGGATGAAGAAAAAACAGAATGGATAATAAGGAAAATGGATAGACTTATCCCCAAATAACTGAATACATTAAAAGTAATGGCAAAAACCACAATTACTTTTACACCAACCTATAACTCTGTAAATGACTGTAGTTTTGAACAGTCAAAATAAGACGTGTACATAACAAAATTTACTACTCAAGATATGATAAAAGAATATATCAGGTGCATCTCTAAGATACCTCACTCCTTGGCTTACCTTACAGTGCTTGGCTTGCTTGTGAGGACATCAGGAACTTCAAACCTGGGTTTTAGAGGAGTCTCTTCATTAATTTTAAGCCTGAAAATGTTTCCTTCTATACCATAAATTTCAGCCAGGAGAGTAACCTGGAAACAGATACAAGAGATTGCCTTCAACAGGTTATCCAAGTGATGGCCAATTTTGCACAAATTACAATAATTGGAAAAATATTTGTTTAAATTACAATAGGCTAAGCAAATTGGAGAACACTGGCAATTTAAAAGAAAACCTCCCAGTTCATATATGTATTTGCTTGGATATAGTGGTAGTAGCAGCAAGAAATATCTTCTATGTGTTCTGTGGCTGGTGAACACATAGTTGTCCAAACCAGGATCTTCAGAGCGAAAGGAGTCTCTATCAATAATTACACGGAAAGACAGGCATAAACTGAAACTTGCCTTGGAAGATTGGGACATGTGGCTACTGTATCTATGATAAACTACAGATATGTTAAGAATAAGAGTTTGGGTGTTACAAGCAGAGTAACTAGATTCCAGCTGGATGAAAGATGAAGGGTGGCAGGCTACAGAAGAGAAAAGAGTAGAAAATAAAATGATGATTATTGGAGTTCTCTAGTGGTGGATGAAATGAGGCTTGCTGCTCTATAACTGGAATTGATTTGTTCACAGCTGGGAATAGGCCGAGGGAACTTTTACAAGAGGCTGGGGAACGTAGGTAAAATTCTGCCTACAATGGGACACAGAAACAATGTAGAACCCTGAAGATAATACAGAACTTGAAAAATAAAACACAGAACAAGAAGCTCTAGGAGAATAGAAATGACTGGATTCAGGTTACAAAATGAGGCACCTAGATCAGAAAAATATTTTAAGACCATGGTTTTCAACTGGTGGGCCATGCTGCACTAGTCAATTGCAATTTTTTTTTTTTTTTTTTTTTTTTTTGAGGCGGAGTTTCGCTCTGTCGCCCAGCACTTTGGGAGGCCGAGACGGGCGGATCACGAGGTCAGGAGATCGAGACCATCCTGGCTAACCCGGTGAAACCCCGTCTCTACTAAAAAATACAAAAATCTAGCCGGGCGAGGTGGCGGGCGCCTGTAGTCCCAGCTACTCGGGAGGCTGAGGCAGGAGAATGGCGTGAACCCGGGAGGCGGAGCTTGCAGTGAGCTGAGATCCGGCCACTGCACTCCAGCCTGGCAATTTTTTCATGAAGTACCATGCCAAATTTTGCTTACAAATGGGTGCCTGTGCTGTTACTGTTATTATGTCTGTTAAACGACAGCTAAACTGGGTAAGTTGTATGACACAGCTTAGAATGGATACAATGTGGTGCAAGTAAAAGGTAAGAAGTATGGAGAATATCAAGCCAGCACCAAAAAGGTGATGTTACTGGAACTTTGCCTCTTGCGAATACAGGAAAGCAATCAGGGCAGTTAAACTGTAACATGATACTGAACACAGACCGAGTAAACAGTGCTATGGCTGTGGATCCTTTTCTAGATATTCTAAGGCAGGGTTATGATGCAATAGTGATCCATTACTGCTTGCATGTTTAATGTTCTTTTATATATTTAAGCTACTTTCGGTGTACTATCAGAATTTTCACATTTGGAAATATGTCCAAGTACAAAGTTCAAATTGTTAGATTATGTATTGCCTCACTATTTAAACATATATTTCCATTGCTCTCTCAAATTCCATTCAATTAACATTTATTTGGCATCTATTGTTGCAATGATTGAGCTTTTGAGGAGGTTGCAATTTGGAGGAGATAAAAGAGATGCAAAGCTAACACAGAGCATTCTGATGTTTTAAAGCAGAAAGGCAAGAGATTAAGGGGGTTATTAATGATGACTGTAGGGTGAGAAGTTCTGGACGTTTCTCTGGAGGAGTAGAGATTTAAGCAGGGCCTTTAGGAATTAGTAAGACTTTGAGTAGGCAAAAATGGGCAAGAACATCCTAAGCAGGGGGCTTAGACAACCAATAATCAGGTTGTCTGCCTATATATGATTAATAATTTACATCTAGTTATTCACTCAGAGATTGTCCCATTTTTAGTAAAATAGCTTTCTCTACAAAAAACACAACTAATTTTTGTTTAAACCAAAGACTTATCTGTACGTTCTGTTCTTGAGGCTGCAGCCCAGGGGGAAAAAAAGAGAGCAATAACCCTGTTTTCACTATAATGACTTCATGTATAAATCAGAGTTAATCCTCATTTTAATTTTAATTTAGCAAACTTATTTTAGCAAAAATCACTCTGAAATTTAGCAATATTTACAGTCATTCTTTCTTTAAATTTATCTATTTATTTATTTTGAGATGGATCTTGCTCTGTCGCCCAGGCTGGAGTGCAGTGGCACAATTTTGGCTCACTGCAACCTCCACCGCCTGGGTTTAAGTAATTCTTGTCCCTCAGCCTCCTGAGTAGCTGGAATTACAGGTGCACACCACCACATCAGGCTAATTTTTGTATTTTTAATAGAGACAGGGTTTCATCCTGTTGACCAGGCTGGCTCAAACTCCTGACCTCAAGTGATCCTCCTGCCTCAGCCTCCCAAAGTGCTGGCATTACAGATATGAGCCACCATGCCTGGCCTTCTTTTTTTCTCATCCTTTTAATCAATGAACAGATTCATTCTTCTCTCTCATTATCACCAACATAGTTTTGCTGGTCCAGGCACTACTTATCTTAGACCTTAGTATGCACTTCCTCCTATGATCTAGGCTCATGTGTTTTTTTTTTCTTATCAGATTTTTTTTTCTTTTATATCACCAGACTCCCAGAAGTCCAATAAGTAAAGCCTCTGTCTGTTAAAGACAGTAGGGAATAGCTCAGTGTCCCACCTTAGAGTCCCCTGCCTTCCCAGTATTGAGTCCTAAGGCAACTCTGTCAAAACCGCAGGGCTCTGTGGATGACAGTTCAAAAGCCACTTCCCTGAGGCTTAACTGCCAGTTCTTTCCCAATCCTTCCACATCCTTGCTCTTTCAAAAAGTCTGGACATGACTGTTATTATAATCTACTACCTAAAATAGTAAACATTTGTAGATATTCCTTTTCTATTTGCTGGGACCTGCTGGATATTTATAAATAAAATAATGTACAAATAAACTACCAAATCTCTTCCTCTTGTTAGTGATGATTGGAAATGACAAAGAAAAAATACATTAAGAAGTTACAGATGTTGGACTGCTTAAATTGAGAATTTAGTATGAATCTTTAGATAGTATAAGTAGTTACACACAATTCCAGCCAGATCAATTTATGTAAAATAATAATTTTAAATGGATAGTTACAATGAGGTGAGAAAGCATGGGTTTTGCTCCCTTAGAAATATTTAAGATGTGCCAGTGGGTGCTGCATGCATATAGCCCCAGCTGCTCAGTGGGGCTGAGGCAAGAGGATTGCTTAAGTCTAGCAGTTTGAGGTTACAGTGTGCCTTGACCGCACCTGTGAGTAACCACTGCACTCCACCCTGAAAAACACAGTGAGACCCCATCTCTTAAAAAAATTTAAGATGTGTTAATGTCCAATTACACAGAGAAGCTGAGATACATCCTCAGAGAAAAGAATACATTTTGGAGGTTCATTTTAATACTACAAGCCTCTACTCAGTTTTTCATATATCTTTACTTAGAAGCCGACCTCTCAGTCTGGGAAAAAGAGTATTAATTCTCTTTTCCTGTCTTATTTCTCTCTTACTAAATAAAAACAATTAAAACTTGGTGGTTTGTTATGCACGAATCTAGTTTTTTTATGGCCATACAGGCAAAAATATCAGATACTTTGTAAACATCATGGTGGTAGAAATAGCTTTGTCTATGTCTTCAAGCATAGGGTTGATCACAATTACATTAAAACAAAAACTTTTTATTCACCCAGAACTGGGAATCACAATTAGTAAAGACCGTAATAGAGTTAACAGAACAGCCCTAGAACACATATTCAAATTTGAAGTGGGTGTTAAGTAGGAAAATTATGACTCCATCAACTCCTCCTTGGTAGGTTGATCTTGCTTTTCCTGAGGCACCAGGACTCTTCACTATTACATAAAGAACTGTTAACCTAAAAGACCTAGAACAGTGAGCGACCACCTCTACCAGCTGTGATCAAGACCTCCCGGGATCCAGAGAATGGTCTAATAGTTCATCAAATTGCTGTAGGGCACTAATTGTCCCTTCCACAGTGGCAGCCAGTTGGTTTATTGCAAGCACTGATTTTTTATGAAGAATACTGGCAACCTCACGCTGGGTACTGGCCTGTTCCCCAAGGACAATTAGCCTGTCCAGGTGTGCTTCTGATTGTCTGGCCAGTTCCCAAATTAGCTGCCTCTTCCTGGCCATTTCTGCAGACACAGTACTGGCTAACAAGTGGTAGTTATCCCTCGTCTGCTGAGAAGGTGGCTGGTTGGGCAAAGCCTCATTTTCATTAGGCTCAGATGAAGAGGCAAGGGGTAACTTCACAGAGATGCTCGGAGATATTCCTGCATCCTTGGAGAAGCTGCTGGAAGTGTTGTCTCTGGTGAAACCTTGCAAACTGGCTGCAAAAGAAAATAAACATGTTGTCAAATGGTCACCTATATCATCAGAAAGCATCATAATTAGCAATATAAAGTAGATTGCTCCAGACATCCTTGCTAGCAATGCTTTTTAAGCTGGACTCACAAGACAGCATACATTTTCCTTTGCCTAGATCACAAGACTAGATGTCTCTTTCTCAATCCAAACCAAATTTTCACTGAAGATAGAAAACCGAGAGTAGTAGCAAAAAAAAGAAAACAACAACTGAGTTCTACAAAAGCAGTCAACACTTTCCTGATCACTTTCTTTTTATTTTCTGGAAGCTTCTTTACTAAATATCTACCTGATTATTCTGTCATCAGGAATAAGCACAACACTATATTAGGACCCCATGTGAGAAAACTTACGCATCTGAACCTGCAACCAGTTTTTCTCCAAGGCCTGGATGTTCTGACCTTGTGACAACACACAGGTCAACATTCCAGCTTGTTTTGTAACAGATATATGTCCTAGGAACATCATGTTTGCTATGGACTGGTGTCTTCCCAAAATTTGCTATTAAAGCCCCAGCCTACAATATGATGGTATTCAGAGATGAAGCCCTTGGGAGGTAATTAGGTTTAGATGAGGTCACGAGGTTTAGGAAGTCCTCAGGAATGGATTAGTGCCCTCATAAGAAAAGACCAGAGCTGGGTGTGGTGGCTCACGCCTGTAATCCCAGCACTTTGGGAGGCTGAGACGGGTGGATCACGAGGTCAGGAGATCGAGACCCATCTTGGCTAACACGGTGAAACCCCATCTCTACTAAAAATACAAAACATTAGCTGGGCGTGGTGGCGGGTGCCTGTAGTCCAGCTACTTGGGAGGCTGAGGCAGGAGAATGGCGTGAACCTGGGAGGCGGAGCTTGCAGTGAACTGAGATCGCGCCACTGCACTCCAGCTTGGGCGACAGAGCAAGACTCCGTCTCAAAAAAAAAAAAAAAAATGAAAAAGAAAAAAGAAAAGACCAGAGAGCTTGTGTACACACTCTCTCTCCACTATGTGAGGGCACAAGAAGGGAGCCATCTACAAAGCAAGAAGAGAGCCCTCACCAGACAGTGAAGCTGCTGGCACTTTGATCTTGGAATTTACAGCCTTCAAAACTGCAAGAAATAAACATCTGTTGTTTAAGCTGCCCAGCCCGTGGTATTTAGTTATGGCAGCCTAACACAAAGTTGAATGAAGCTTGGTTCTGCTTCCTGGTTGTTTATTAAGGAGCAGATTGGGGAACGGAATTGAGAGGGAGAAATTCAAAAATTAACAAATCTTGACAACTCCAAAGTTACTGCTTTAAGGGTTTTAAAGGTGTAGGGGCAGGCAAGCACCAAGAGTGTTGGATTTGTCAGAATCTGCCTGATCAGTGCAATTTGAGAACTGCAGCTGTGAGCTGAATACGATCCTCTTAGACTCTGGGCTGTCCCTCTCAACCTGAAATAAAAAGCTATCATTCTGAATAAATGGATGTATGCAGCTTATTTTAAAACTTCAGATCACACGCATACCATATCTTAATGTGTAATCTCCTTGAAACACCCATCTCATCCCAGAAACCATTTTTAACAGAAGTTCTTTGTTGTTTAACACTTTTTTTGGAGACAGAGTCTCACTGTGTTGCCCAGGCTGCAGTGCAGTGGCATAATCTTGGCTCAATACAACCTCTGACTCCCAGGTTCAAGCAATTCTCCTGCCTCAGCCTCCTGAGTCGCTGGGACTACAGGCATGTGCCACCATACCCAGCTAATTTTTGTATTTTTGTTTTTGTTCTTTGTGAGAAGTGATTCTCCTGCCTCAGTCTCCTGAGTAGCTGGGACTACGGGCACACGCCACCATGCCTGGCTAATTTTTGTATTTTTTAGTAGAGATGGGTCTTACTATGTTGGTCAGGCTGGTCTTGAACTCCTGACCTCGTGATCTGCCCACCCTGGCCTTCCACAGTGCTGGGATCACAGGTGTGAGCCACTGCACTTGGCCTAATTTTTTCTTTTTTCATGCTGTCTTTGCCATATTTTAGGTCAACTTTTTTTGGACAGTGTCTCACTGTGTTGCCCAGACTGCAGTGCGGTGGCACAATCTTGGCTCACTGCAACCTCTGCCTCCCAGGGTCAAGTGATTCTCATGTCTCAGCCTTTGGAGTAGCTGGGATTACAGGCATGCATCACCATGCCTGGCTAATTTGTGTATTTTTAGTAGAGAGGGGGTTTTGCCATGTTGGCCATAGCTGGTCTCGAACTCCTGGCCTCAAGCGATCTGCCTGCTTTGGCCTCCCAAAGTGCTGAGATTATAGGCGTGAGACACCACAACTGGTGTAAAAGAGGCTCTTTCACTATGCAATGAGCTGCATACAAGATGCAGGCAACATTAGCGATCACCATCACCGCTGTTGTCCCTAACAGACTGACAGAGGACATGAAACCTTATGTACCTACTAGTCATCTCAACACCACATGACAAGGAGGACATTAAAATGGAGTTCAGTGTAGAATTTCAGGGTGATCTCCCAAAATATATATTTGCATAAATTTGCCTGAGATCAGTGCATGCAGATTCCTCATGTGGTTCCAATATTTCTAATACCTGAGCATGGAGTCTGTTCCAAGAGGTCCTCAAAGTTCTCAGTCTTGGGAGCTACGTTGCTGATGTCCCAGGTAATTTGTCCTTGTTTATCAGGCTCCTCAGCTTCCTTTTGAGCCAGGTGCTGTCTTGTGCTGAGATCCTGTGGCTCCTCCTGGACTGTGGTTTCTTTGCCTTTGAAGGCATCCAGAGTTGCTGGGCTCTGGTCCCGGCACCTGACCTGAACAGCATTGTCCCTCACTTTTTCAGGATCCAAAAAGAGAAACTGATCTACAGTAATGTAAAATGGCATACGTGGGTGTCCACTGCAAACTGGTATCATGCTGTGTTGAGAATTTTCATTTTGGCTCACCACTGATATTCAGGGTGATTTTGCCTCATTTACTTTACCTCAGCATGTCTTCATGACCAGGTGCTCAACATACTAAGCATCCTCAAGGATGGATAGGGATTCTTGCTCTGACTATGGACAACTACAACTCTCTCAGGTTAGACACAATGGAAACAGGAAAGAAAATGAGACAATGACAAGAAAAATGCAACAGGAAGTTCTTGACATCTGGTTAAAGACTCCTGGAAGGCCTCTGGTGGACTTGATGCATTTCCTGGAGCCAACTGCTTCCGCTGACCCTGAATAGAGTGGTTTGGCCGGGTGTCAGGCTATCACACCACACGCAAACAGTGGTTGGCTCTCCAAGACGGAAATTACTGCTGTCCCTTTTTTCCCCCCATGAACGGCTATCAAACTAGGCTACAAAAGGATATATAAACAACATGTATAAATAAGAACATAAAGGGAGACCTGAATCAGCATTAGAGGACCTATGGCTTTGGGGGTTCCATAAGCTGAGAACTCAAATGTATCAAAGATACTAGGCAAGGAGGAAAATTACTCCAGAAAGACAGGTGGTGTAAGAATCAGCACTAGGTTTTGGAGAAAGGCTAACTGCCCCATCTGTGCAGCTAAGAGAGATGAGCTAAATGTACTGCCATAACAACTATGTTGTAGAAGTTGAGGACAGGGGATGGGGATAGAGAACACAGAACTATTGATATGATTCTAGCTCATATTTTGAATTTGGGCAAGAAAGTTATGAAAGAAGACTCCATATGACTAAAATCTCTAAAACTCCATAATGAAGGTAGTTTTCCTCACTGTACAATTGTTCTTTCTGTTTGGGAATAAAGTTTGGACCCATTTCTAAATTAAAGGCCTTACAATGATTATGGAGAACCCACTAACGTCAGCGGAGCGCTGCAGGGCAGGAACTATGGTAGTCACATGGTTCACAGCTCTGCCATGAACATCAGCTTCCCAGAACCAGGACTTGTTAGTGAGTTGGTGCAGTTATTATCCAAGCAGTTAGGGGACCCACACCTAATGGCCTTAACTGTCTTCCAGTGATATGAATTACCAGTTAAGTCAGGTAAGTCTCAGAGGACTTAGAAACCTAGGACGCCTTTAGAATGCAGGGCGGATCTGAAAGTGAGGGTCAGGTTGAGGGCATCAGGTAGTAGTGAACAGTCACACGTCCTAGCACAGTCCATAGTGCTTCCTCTATGACTGGCCCATCTAAAGTAACATGACAACTTCACGGGTGAGAGAAAGCACTTAAGATATACTTCCCTAACCCTCTCACTAGGCAAAAGCTATGGTAACCTCTAGTGAAGCAGCTCAGGTAAGGGAACACTTGTTACTTGGGTTTTCAACTGCATAGTCCTTTTGCCTGTCCCCTGTTCCCCCTGGCCCACCTGCATTTTGAGATTTGGACATACCCTAAATTTGTACCTTGCTCAGGCTACACATGCAACTGGGCATTGTGTAACATTGTTAGAAAGCACATGGGTGATAGCGTCTAACAGATGTAGGAGAAAATTTTGGTTACTAAATGTGAGACTCTGGGCAAGGGATTTTCTAGACTTCATTTTCCTTATCTGAAAACTGGGAAAATATAATGTACCTCTTAGATGTGTTATGAAGACTAATAAAAAGGAAATAACATTTGTAAGACATTTAGGAAAACATCTGATACACAGGCAATCTACATACTGATACTAATATAACTATTACAATGTTATTACTATAGATATGAAAAGATGACATTCATTTTTTCTTTCTTTTTTCTTTTTTGAGGGAGGGTCTCGCTGTGTCACCCAGGCTGAAGTGCAACAGCACTCTCATGGCTCACTGCAGCCTCTACCTCCCGGGCTCAAGAGATCCTCCCATCTCAGCCTCCTGGGTAGCTGGGACTACAGGCATGCACGACTGTGCCTGGCTAATTTTTTGTACTTTTTGTAGAGATGGGTTTTCGCTATGTTACCCAGGCTGGTCTTGAACTCCTGGGCTCAAGCAATCTGTCCGCCTCTGCCTCCCAGAATGCTGGGATTACAGGCATGAGCCACTAATCACTAAAAGGCCAATATTCCTTTTCTAATGAGGTTTATTTTTGAAGCTACATAGCTTTAATTGGCTTTTGTGGAAATTTACTTCATTCAGCCCCAATAAATGCAGAAATAAATTATTCTCTGTAGAAAATACTTCCATCTCACCTTACTTGCTTCATTGATGATTTGGAACCTGGTGCTGTCTTCATCTGTTGTGACTGAGTCCAGTAATGCCTGATAGGCGGACTTCTTGGAAAGCCACTGTTTCTGATGCCTATAGATAAGGAGTATGCAGATGCTTGATAATTATTTGTGATTGCCAGTATCCAACAGACTATATTATCATGTGGAAGTCATTAAAATTCACTATGATATTCGGGGAATTTCAGGGCACAAACAGCATTAGTACTATAATAAAGTGCTAATCAAGAACTTTATTATTAGAGTGCTAATAAGATGAGTATTAGTAAGAACACTAATAAAATTGATTAATATAATGCTACTCAAAGGATGACATCTTGTCTCCTTTCTTGAGATGGTTGGGTAATTTTCATAGATGACATTTGTGAGCTTGTTAATTTCCCTCCCTCTTTCCATAAAATGGACTTTAATAGTAACTAAATAATTTCTAGTGGAAATTCAATAGAATCTAGTCCTTTAACAAGGTTACCAGGCATTCACTGTAGACTTCCCTCTAGATACCTGTTCAGAATTAAAATAATACGCTTTTCTTCCTATTGAACAGAGAGTGAATACGTTAGAAAGCTATACTGTATAATACAATTTTTGATAATTTTAGTTTCAAGATCACATAAAGACTTTTTTTTAAAATGAAGATTACAGCCGGGCGTGGTGGCTCATGCCTATAATCCCAGTACTTTGGGAGGCTGAGGTGGGTGGATCATCTGAGGTCAGGAGTTCAAGACCAGCCTGACCAACATGGTGAAATCCCCTCTCTACTAAAAATACAAAAAATTAGCCAGGCGTGGTGGCGCATGTCTGTAATCCCAGCTACTCGGGAGGCTGAGGCAGGAGAATCACTTGAACCCAGGTGGTGGAGGTGGCAGTGGGCAGTGATTGTGCCACTGCACTCCAGCCTGGGTGACAGAGGGAGACTCCGTCTCAAAAAATAAATAAATAAAATAAAATGAAGATTTTAAAGGCATATTTTTTGTAGCTCTGGAGAAACAGGCAATCTTTTGTTTTCTCTTTGAGACGGAGTTTCACTCTTGTTGCCCAGGCTGGAGTGCAATGGCATGATCTTGGCTCACCACAACCTCTGCCTCTTGGTTCAAGTAATTCTCCTGCCTCAGCCTCCCAAGTAGCTGAGATTACAGGTATGCGCCACCATGTCTGGCTAATTTTGTATTTTTAGTAGAGATGGGGTTTCTCCATGTTGGTCAGGCTGGTCTCGAACTCCCGACCTCAGGTGATCTGCCTGCCTTGGCCTCCCAAAGTGCTGGGATTACAGGTGTGAACCACCTCGCCCGACCAGGCAATCTTATATAATGGTGGTAGGAGTATAAATGGTATAATTCCTATGGAGGGAAATTTGGCAATACTTAACACATTTCAAATGCCTTTACTCTTTGACCCAGTAATCCTACTCCTAGAAATGTATCCTATAAATACACATGCATGCGTAGAAAATGACCTATGTATAGTTCTTCATTGTGGTAGTGCTAATTTAGCAAAAGATTAAAAGCAACCCAAGGGTCTAGCAACAAGAGACAGACTGAATACATTATATTAATAGTATATCTACCCCATGGAATATTATGCAGCTGTAAAAAGGGGAAGCAATCTCCATGCACTCATATGAATTCCTCCTCAGAACTATAAAACAGGAAAAAAAAAACCTATTTGGTATAAGAAAGGGGTGATAACAAAAGAGAAAGGGAATAATATAAAAATACATGTATTTACAAAAAGAAATACTAGAAGGATAAATAAGAAATGATGAAATTTGGTTATTTGGGACAAGATGAGGAATGGGTAGAATGGGACAGGAGTGGAAGTAACATTTTTCAATGTATACCTCTTCATATCATTTTTGAACCATGTAAAAGTGTATCTATTCAAAGCATCAAAATTTAAAAACTAGTTTAAAAATATTTTGGCTTTTAAAATAAAATAGCTGTTTACTGAAAAATTTAAATACTTCAGGAGTAAATGTATAAAGTTAAAAGTGAGTCTCCTGTCTGACGATTTCCTTAATTATTAAATTATTCTTTCCTTGGAAAGTCTATCAGTTCTCAAAAATTTAATAAGTATCAATTTTGAAATTACTGTCAAGAAATGTTTTGATCTAGTTACTATATTTATCTTCCTTACCTGTAAAATGCGATCTTGTTGCAGTCTCTGAAAATGTTTTTATCCACAGCTTCATCTTCAACGCTAAATAAAAAGACATTTTGAGAAATTTATTTTACACAGGGCTTGTGAGTCCAATTTTTGTACCTTCTCTAACTACAGTATGAACATGCAAAATAAACCTTTGGAGCCTATTCTGCAATGCAAAATTGTGTCACGGCCATAGTATAACATAATAGCACATTATGCTGCAGAACAATAGCCTTTTGTAAATCCTCTGCGGTAAACAACAAAAGATCAGGTTCTGGGATTACTCCGGAAAGTAATGGGAAAAGATCACTGTCACCTAAGAGGACATATTATTTTGAAATAATGACTGAAGGTTATGACTGCAAAAGTAAAATCTGAAGGAGCAAAACCAAAACAGCATCCCAAAACGAACAAACCAAAACCAACAAACCAGACAAACTAAGAACCATAACCCACCCACAGATTTATTCAACAAAATATTTTCAGAACATTCTTCCTGGGTGCTGGGCTCTGAGGAAGATATGGACTGTGTTCAAGCTGTCAGTAAGGGTTTTACCAACAATCACAATACAAGCTGACAAATGCTTTAATAGAGGTGCAAGGTGCTAGAATAAGAACAGAACAGACATAGAAGGGGAATTTCTTGCTTTTCAAGACGAGGTGACAATCTAGGGGCCATGTTTTTTAAAACCAAGTTTCCAGAAGAGCTCTTTCTGGAATAAAACATGAATGAGATGTATGTGTATACTGCAGTTTGAGTATATGTATTTAAACTAGCCTCCATCTGATTAAAACAACTACAGATTAAAATGAGAAGAAAAAATAACACTGGCTTTCATGCACCGGTGTGGCTGAATGCATCTGTAGTCAGCATGTCCATGATTATGTAGAAAGCTATGACTGAACACAAATGTCCAAATATTATGAAAACAAGCCCAGGCATATATACTCGGCCATACTAAAAAACTGTTTGTCCTCCACTGAACTCAGTCTTCGTTTATTTTAACTTATTAAAAAAATTTTTTCGAGACAGGATCTCGCTCTGCTGCCTTGGTTGGAGCAAAGTGGCACGATCTTGGCTCACTGCAACCACCGCCTCCTGGGCTCAGGCTATCCTCCTGCCACAGCCTCTAGAGTAGCTGAGACTACAGGCCCACATCACCACATCTGGCTAACTTTAAAATTTTTTGTAGAGACAGGGATTCACCATGTTGCCCAGGCTGGTCTTGAACTCCTGGGTTCAAGCAATCTGCCCACCTACAGGCCTCCCAAAGTGCTGGGATTACAGGCATGAGTGGCCCGAACCAGTTTATTTTAATCAAGTGTACAAAGATTGGAGAATCTTTTGTTTCCTTTTTATAGCTTTGAAGAATTAACTCTGGGATGACATAGGGAGTGGTTATAGTTGAACTTGGAAAGCAACATGCCTGAAATTCATGTGTTAGAGTTCTGATTGCAACTTTTCCACTGTCAATGTTATTTAACCATCCCTTTTTTTGGAGACAGGGTCTCACTTTGTTGCCCAAGCAGTGGCAAAATCACAGCTCACTGCAGCCTCCAAATCCATCCCCCCACTAGTCTCCCAAGTAGCTGGGACTCCAAGGGGGCGGGGAGGGGGTCTTGAACTCCTGGACTCAAGTGATCCTCCCACCTTGGCCTCCCAAATTGCTGTGGGATTACCTGCTTAAGCCACTGCACCTGGCCTATTTAACTATCCTGAAAGTATTTTACAAGATGCTATTAATATCAACTAACTCCCTGCGAATTGAGAGAAAAGATAAAGATGAGCAAATACCAAATACGCAAATAAGAAGTGCAATTTAAAAAAATCAATGAAATCTTCAAAGCCAAAATGTTTTCAGGTACTTTCAGGTACTATTCCCTGTTTCTAGGGACCCTGGGGTCACTTGCTACAGAAGCACTTGGCCTTTACCTTATTTCCTCTTTCTCAGCTGCTTCCATGGCTTCTCTGTCACTCCGACCAGCTCCCAGCTCTCAGGACAAGGGCCCTAGGCGATCTTTTAAAAAAGACGATTGGATGTCTTTCTAAAATTACAACCAGCACTTCACCGTCAAGTTTCTAGAAAGGGAGTTCCCTCCAGATCCTCATGGAGTGACAAATCTTGACTCTTGCTCCTGGAATTTTTCAGGCCCAAACTAGCGTTTCTACAATGATTTACTTGGCAAATTTATCTTGATTACGGGTGGCTGAGGAGGAACATGCTTTTGTTAGGAACCGAAACTGGGCGGCGGTGAGGGCATGTACGCAATGAGTCCTAGAGGGTAAAAATCAAGAGCGTGTGAACCGGGAAATGCCGAGACGGCCTCCCCGACTGGGACGAAGCATCTGCAAATCTACCTCAGTGGCGGGGTCACGCCACAGATTTTGAAAACTGACCCTCTCTGTCTCCGTTTTCGGTTAAGAGTGGGAAGTGCCGGCCGGGTCTTTGCTGGAGGTTAGGTCTCCGGCCAGATTCTACTGCAGCATCGTACTCTTCAGGGCTAGAAGGGGCCTTTGAAGGTTGTTACACTACCCAGTCTAGGAATCGCGTGTACTCCACCACCGCCGAATTCCAGTCTTTGCTTAAATACCACCCAAACCAGAGAACTCACTAGTAGACGCCAATTGGGCAGCCAGACTTAGGGCTTTTCCAGACTTTCTGGCCCCAATGTCTGACACTGACTTATAAGGTATGAGGGGCTGGGGCGAGCGGGAGAAGTAAAGAGCCAAATCCTACACGGGGTGCCTGCCTGGTCCCAAAACCTTTAAGGGCTGGGAGAGAGAAAAGACTCAGGCCGGGCTGGCATGTAGCGATCTCCCTAACCCAGCTGACCAGGTTCCAACAGAGCGACGCTTGCGCAGTAGGTCCAAAGTCTCACGGCGCAACGATGACTGTCTGAGGGAGGTGCCGCTACGTCGCACAGCAAACAAGCCCCGCGACGTTTCCAGGACCCGGATAATCCCGCCCCCAGAGGAGAGCCGGAAGAAGGCGGGACGAACCGGAAGAGGGTGAAATGCTTTCGGTAGGCACTCCACGGCTGTGAAGATGGCGGCGGCTGCGTGGCTTCAGGTGTTACCTGTCGTTCTTCTGCTTCTGGGAGCTCAGCCGTCACCACTGTCGCTTTTCAGTGTGGGACCGGCACCCGTAGCTGCTGCCGACCGGTCCAAATGGCACATTCCAATACCGTCGGTGAGTATTCACTAGCGTCTGAACCTAGAGGAGCAAGAGGTGGGGCTACGGCGGCCCAAGGGGTCCATGAAGGTTCCGCAAAAGTCTCTTCAAAAGGGGTGGGGTTGCCGGGATGGTCTGTGTGGCTGGCCAACTGGGTCCCACCTCCCGCTGGAGGGGAAAGCCGCGCACTGATTAGGCTAGCGGGAATGTCTGGGCCACTTCAGCAACAGACAGGAGTGGTGGAGCGGCTTCTCATCAGAAAAACAGAACTTTCAGTGCCTGACTTGAGATGTTAACTTGATGTACAAACGGAGAGTTGTTTATGTTTCAGATTATGTTTCACAGAATCCAGTGCCCCCGGGTTGGATAAGAAAGATATGTAAATAGAGTCTTCATTTCTTTCTTTCTTTTTTTTCCTGTGCACTTCTTGGTCCCTGAGTAATCCTGCTTACGAGGTGGTTCGACTTCGCTTCAACTTTGAAATGGCTATTCTAAGCTTTACTGTGTAACTAGAAAGCATAGAGAATTTGAAAATGTGTTTTAACATAAGAGTGGTTAAAATGGAAGAAATAGTACTTAAAATTTAATGTGGTAGGGCTCATCTTTCATTTAGATAATTAACTACCTGGGTTGACCCTTTCTGCCCCTTGCCCATTTTAAACCTTATTTCAGTAACAGGTATAGTCCTGTGAGCAGACAAAAACCAGATGCAGGGAGGAAGTGCTGAAAAGCATTAGCCCCGTTAAACCTATGTTGGCCTTTTTGTTTCATTTTGCACTGCTCACTGATTGTAATGTCCAAATCTTATTTGGACTTTTGTATATGGCAAACATTATACCTTTTGTTCAGTGGTGAAGATTTTCAGGTGTTCAGTTAGGTTTTTGCTTGTTACTAAAGTGGTTAATACTTAAGTCTTTAGATTTGAAAATAAAACTCTGGTTATCTGCACACAGAATAGTTCATTTGAAAAAATGATTTGTTATTCTGAGCAGTGATTGGTGAGTAAAGGGAATGAACTGATTAAGGGGTACATTCCATAAAGATTTTAAGTTAAGTTGGAATTTCTAGCAGCCTTAGATAGTTATATGATGCTTTGGTAATTGAAGCCATCTGAGGGTAATTATCTTTCCTTTATCTTTTCAGGGGAAAAATTATTTTAGTTTTGGAAAGATCCTCTTCAGAAATACCACTATCTTCCTGAAGTGTGAGTTTTTGAATTTCATGAAGTTTTAATTTGAATTTTAAAAATTCATAGGTAATGTTTTAAATTACCTATTTTTAAAGTTCTGAAATCTAATAGTCTGGCATTATCTAGGTATAAATATTTTTAGGATTACTAAGGTCCTTTCACTGAATCATCTTCAAAGTACTCGTGTGAACTTTATTTTCTTCTTTTGTTTTTTTGGCGTTTACATTGCGTGTATACACTATGTATACATTATATATTAACGTATAATGTATATATTAATGTATGTGCTATATATACTACGTTGAATATTCAGTCACATCTCAGTCGAATTACATTTACAGTTGATATGTTCTGAGAAAAGCATCCTTAGGTGGTGATGTCATTATGCAAACATCATAGAGTATACTTAAAACTGGATGGCATACTTAAAACTGGATGGCACTACACGCCTAGTCTGCATGGAACAGCCTATTGCTCCTAGGCTATAAATAGCCTGTATAACATGTTACTGTACTGAATACTATAGGTGGTTGTGACACAATGGTAAGTTTTTGTATATCTCAACATAGGAAAGTAGAGTACAAATACGATATTACAGTGGGACCCCCGTTGTATATGTAGTCTTTCATTTACTGAAATGTTACATAGTGCATGACTGTGATTATATTGGGGTTGATTCCCTGCATGGTTGTTTTAATCTGTTTTGTGTAGATGAAAGAGGTTTTACTCTTGTGTGCTTGTTAAATGTTTACTGAAAACATGACCTAGCTTTGTCAGGCCATTGGCTGTGAAGGAATATATTAAGTAGATCTTTTATTTACAAAAGGAGTATTTTACTGCCTTGGAAGAGGAAGCTCAGATATGATCAAGAAATAGGGACAATGTAGAACAAAACTAGTTTGTCTAGTGGAAAAATGACTGTGTCTGAATCTAAAGTATCCCATTGTGTGTTAAATAAAGGTTCCTTTTAGTTCTGAAACTGGCTTTAATTTAGCGCATAATTGATTGTGGGCAGCTTTATTTCTAGATGAGGGATAAAAATCCTGATGATAGATGTGTGATTCTATGCATACTGTCTTCACGGAAGTGCAAAATTGTAAGTCATAGTTGGATGATTTTATTCTTTTCAATTGTTTAATAAGTAACTATTACTTATTGCATAGAGTGCGGGGAAGTGATAGAAAAATGTTCTTCCCTCATCGAGCTTACATTCTAGTGGGAGTGAAAGCAGCAGGTAGAATTTCTCTGAAGAGTGTATGCTATGTCCATGAATATATAATCAGTCTCCTGACCAATGACTTACATTTGATTTAGATCAAATCTACTCTGACACTGGCCTTGTGAGATTGGTTTACTAGGTAACCTAAAAACCCTTGTCTTTTGGAATAGTCTGACAGCCTGTTTGCTGTTCTATTCTTTTATTAGGTCCAGTCTTTTTTTCACTTGTAGTTTGATCTAGTGGTGTTTTGCCAAGTTAAACCAACTGCTTTTTTTTTTTTTTTTTTTTTTTTTAAGATGGTGTCTCACTCTGTCACCCAGACTGGAGTGCAGTGGCGTGATCTTGACTCACTGCAACCTCTGCCTCCCAGGTTCAAGTAATTCTCCTGCCTCGGCCTCCCGAGTAACTGGGATTACAGGCATGAGTCTCTATGCCCGGCTCCAACTGCATATTTTGAAGTGTTTATATTTCATTGTTTTTGGAGGATTTGAGGCACTTTATTTTTTGTTGTTGTTTTTTGAGACGGAGTTTCACTGTGACGCCCAGGATGGAATGCAATGGCGCGATCTCTGCTCACTGTAACCTCTGCTTCCCGGGTTCAAGCGATTCTCCTGCCCCAGCCTCCCGAGTACCTGGGACTATAGGCGTGTGCCACCATGCTGGCTAATTTTTATATTTTTAATAGAGATGGGGTTTCACCATATTGGCCAGGCTGGTCTCGAACTCGTGACCTCAAGTTATCTGCCTGCCTCGGCCTCCCAAAGTTCTGGGATTACAGGTATGAGCTACCATGCCCGGCCTGAGACACTTTAACATTTACATTATCTTTTTCTTTGTTATTCCTGTGCTTTCTCATATTTACCAGTTGTCTTTGATTTTGTACTTTTTGGGGAATGGTATATAGCTTTCCATGGAATAGCTGGAACCATTTTTATTGTCTCTTAAAACCTTTCATTTAAGGTTCTAAATGTTGTCTTTTAACATAAACAGCAGTATTTTTGCTGCCAAATTTCCTTACAAGTCTCCTGTTTGGGGGATGTGTTCTTAGTGGCTTTTTACTAGTTAATCTTATCTCTGTATGGATTCTTTTGAATAGTTCATAGCCTGATTGCTTTTTACCATTTCCATAAATTCTATCCAATGGGTTAGATTTTTGAACATTCTAGTAGAGTCCTTTGAAAATGTGTTGGTCATTTAAAAATTAGTTGAGAAAACAGTTTAAAAGAAAGAAAAAAAGGAAGCTTATAATTAGGTTACGTCTTTTATTATGAACCAAAAGTAGATTCCTAAATGCAGTCATGTTTATTTTTGTCACATTTGTATAAAGTAGGGAGTCTTTAGTATATTTTTCCTTTCACAACTAGAATCAGAGATAAAAGCGAATACTGACTTCCTCTAGCTAATCAGTCATATAGTCAGATTTACCCTCCGAAGTCTTCAGAATAATGTTTTGATTCATTAGAATACTGTGTTTCAAACTGTGTTTAATGAGTTTTATGAAGCTTCCATGATAACATGAGCTTCCTTGAGGCCTCTTTTAAGGTAGGCTTTGAAAAAAAAATCTGATACGCTTATCTTTGCTTTTGCTATTTCTACCTTCCACAGCCATGTTTGCTTTTCATTCATTGCTCTTTCTGTTCTATCTTGATATCTTTCAAGGTCCAAGATATGAATTATGCTCTCAGTGGAACTATTATCCACTATTATGTATATCATCATTTAACACCATTTAACAGTTACGAATATTGCCCTGTGACATGGCATTCCTAATTTTGTTATTCCTTGTCTCAACTAGCCTTTTGAAGGGTCTTAATAATTTGTTTCCACTCATTTACCTTTTTGGCCTAACAGTGTGCCATATTTCTTTATTTATGTTTTTCGAGACAGAGTCTCGCTTTGTCGCCCAGGCTAGAGTGCAGTGGTACCATCATGGCTCACTGCAGACTGGACTTCCTGGGCTCAAGTGATCCTCCTGCCTCCCTCACCTGAGTTGCTGGGGCTACAAGCAAGTACCACCACGCCTAGCTTTTAAAACATTTTTTGTAGAGATGAGTTCTCACTATGTTGCCTAGGGTGGTCTTGAACTCCTGGGCTCAAGTGATCCCCCTGCCTTGGCCTCCCAAACTTCTGGGGTTATAGGTGTGAGCTACTGTACCTAGCCTGCTCAATAAATACTTAAATAATAGAAGACTGGCTTTAATTTAGGACTGCTTTATCAGTCCCAGGTTTTTCCCAATAGAGATCCAGAAGTTAGGACTTTATGGCATAAAAATAGATCCACAGTTTCAAGAGGTTAAAAACTGCCTATCTGCTATTTTTCTATGAACAACAATACTTTTATCTTAATATCCAGCTTTTTTTGCTATATTATTTCAATACCTTATGTTTGGAGAAGGGATAGTCTTTGAGTATCTCAGTTTAGGGTAGGAAATAAATAGGATGCAGGTTAACAGTTTAGGAAAAATGCTTTTTTGGGGAATTATCTTTTGTTAACAAAGATTTATTCTTTTATAGTTGATGGAGAACCTTGTGACCTGTCTTTGAATATAACCTGGTATCTGAAAAGTGCTGATTGTTACAATGAAATCTACAACTTCAAGGTAACGAACATAAAATTATAGACTTTTCTTGGACCTTAGTGATTATCTGGTTCCAGTCTCTTGATTTCATGGAGGAAAGAGTATCATGTAGCTACGGAGGAGGAGAGCTGAAACTAGAACACATGCTTCCCAATTTGCAGACCATCAATTCTCAAACTTTTTAGTTTCAGAACTTTTATATTTGTAAAAATTATTGCAGACTCCAGAAAGCCTTTATGCTATTAGAAATTACAACTGAGAAAATATAGAAATATTTATTAATTTTAAAGTAGCAATAATAAACTTATTACATGTTAATATAAATAACGGTTTTTCCAAGAAAACTACATAAAAGAGTACGATTGTTTCGTATTTTTGTAAATTTGTTTACTATCTGGCATAACAGAAGATCACTGGATTCTTATATTCCCTTCTTCACTCAGCCTGTTGCAATAATTTGATTTAAGTACATGTAGAAAATAATGACCTCATACAGATATATAGTTGGGAAAAGGAATGGTATTTTAATGGCCTTTTCAGATAACTGAGGATATTCTTTTTTGATTCTGTATGAAAACTCAAGTGGAAGTTTTTAAAGGTTAGTTGCAATGTGGAATCTGAAATGTTAGTGAACTTTTTTTGTACTCTGATAAAAAAATCCACTGCTATGAATGTATCTTTCACCTGTGTGTGATCTTGTAGCATCATTTATTGGTCATTTAGAAAATAGTAGTTGACTGAATTATATACATTTTCTAAATATTAACTCATTTCACATTTAGCTAAAACTTACATTGTTTGTAACTATCCCCTGCCCTCTTCATCTCATCAGTAGGTTCTTAAGTTTTGGAAGGAGTTAAATTCAGTGTAGCAGATACAAGTTCTTCACAATTCCAGTTTTTGCTTGAAATCTCAAATTTTATTTTGGCAGTGAATACTGTCAGTTGTCTTCCTTGAGGTGACAGCCTCCATTGCCCATTTCCAGAGAAATATCTCTCAAATAACCACGTCTGAGTAATGGTAGTTTTTCAGTCATTCTTTCAAGTAAATGTGTTTCATGAAAAAAATGATTAGTTTAACTCACAAGTCAAAGCAATTGCAGAGTGCTTTATCTCAGGACAATAATTTATTGTATTTTGCATACTTTCCATTTTGTTACCTAGATTATTTAAAAAGTCAGGTACTCAAAATGTCTAGATTTAATAACATTAATAATTTTTACTGTTTTATCAAGGATATTCTTACATAAAACTGGCATTTTTAAGAACTGCCGGTTTGTGACTGTGAAGAATATGATTGCTAGTACAATTAAGTGCCATTGCCTTAGTTCCTGATAAGGGGCAGCAGTTTTCCCCACTATTGCTTTCGTAATATCATTGCGAGTCAAATAGCATACTATTTTTTTTTTTTTTTTTGAGACGAAGTCTCACTCTGTCGCCCAGGCTGGAGTGCAGTGGCGTGATCTCGACTCACCACAATCTCTGCCTCCCGGTTTAAGTGATTCTCTGGCCTCAGCCTCCCGAGTGGCTGGGATTACAGGTGTCTGCCACCACACCTGGCTAATTTTTGTATTTTTAGTAAAGATGTTGGCCAGGCTGGTCTCGAACTCCTGACCTCAGGTGAACCACCTGCCTCAGCCTCCCAAAGTGCTGGGATTATAGGTGTGAACCACCATGCCTGGCCATGAAAATAGTTTTGACCACCTAGACTTTGTGAAAGGGTTCAGCGACCACACTTTTGAGAATTGCCATAATCCGGAATACTTGAGCACTGAAAATATATTGCTCAAAGAACAAAGCTGGAAGCATCACACTACCTGACTTCAAACTATGCTTCTGGGCTACAGTGACCAAAACAGACACAAAGACCAGGGGAACAGAAAAGAGAGCCCAGAAATAAGGCCGCACACCTACAACCATCTGACATTTAACAAAGCTGACAAAAACAAGCAATGGGGAAAGGACTCCCGATTTAGTAAATAGTGTTGCATTAGCGTGCTGGCCATATGCAGAAGATTGAAACTGGATCCCTTGCTCACATCATATTCAAAAATCAACTCAAGATAGATTAAAAACTTAAATGTAAAACCAAACTATAAAAACCCTGGAAGACAACCTAGGCAATACCATTCTGGACATGGTAAGTGGCAAAGATTTCATGATGATGCCAAAAGCAATTCCAACAAAAGCAAAAATTGACAAATGGGATTTAATTAAACTTAAGAGCCTCTGCACAGCAAAAGAAACTATCAACAAAGTAAACAGACAACCTACAGAATGGGAAAAAATATTTACAAACTATGCATCCAAAAAAGATTTAATATCCAGCCTCTATAAGGAAGTTAAATTTATATGCAAAAAACAACCCCATAGAAAAGCGGGTAAAGGACATGAACAGACACTTTTCAAAAGAAGACATACATACAGCTAATAAGCATATGAAAAAAACAGCTCTGTATCACTGATTATTAGAGAAATGCAAATCAAAATCACAATGAGATACCATCTCACATCAGAATGGCTGTTATTAAAAAGTCAAAGGATAGTATATGCTGGCAAGGTTGTGGAGGAAAAGGAATGCATATACATTATTAGTGGGAGTGTGAATTATTTCAGCCACTGTGGAAAGCAGTGTGGCAGTCCCTCAAAGAGATAAAAACAGAATTACCATTTGACCCAGCAGTCCCATTACTGGGTATATATCCAAAGTAATATAAATCATTCTGCCATAAAGACACATGCACACGTATGTTCACTGCAGCACTATTCACAATAGCAAAGACATGGAATCAACCTAAATGCTCATCAGTGGTAAACTGGATAAATAAAATGTGGTACATATGCAGCCATAAAAAAGAATGCAGTACATATGCAGCCATAAACAAGAATGAGAGATCATTTCCTTTGTGAGAACACAGAAGGAGCTGGAGGCCATTATCCTTAGCAACCTAACACAGGAACAGAAAGCGAAATATCACGTTTTCACTTATAAGATGGAGCTGAATGATGAGAACACATGGTCACAAAGAGGGGAATGACAGATACTGGGCCTACTTCAGGGTGGAGGGAGAGGATCAGAAAAAATAACTCTTGAGTACTAGGCGGTACCTGGGTGATGAAATAATCTGTGAAACAATCCCCTGTGAGTTGAAATTACCTGTGTAACAAAGTTGCATGTGTCTACCTGAACCTAAAATAAAATTTTTTAAAAAAGTATATATATAGAGTTCTGAGTTGAATTGTTCAGACCTTTTCCATTCTGTTTCTATCTCCCTATTTGCATTTTTTAAAAAAGATTGTCCTTCTTTTGTGCTTGCAGCAATTTTGTGCTCTATCTTAGTTTATGAGCATGAATATCTTTTTGTTGATGTTGTTAATTTGGTCAAGTAAACTCTTCTAAGTATATTTTAATGTGACAAAACCCTCTACACTTTGGCAGTTTCCCAGTCTACTCTGAATTGTTAGTAGAACTATGCCTTGTGAGCCAAGACTAGAATTATGCCCTTGAGTCTAATAGTGTTCGATTGTTAGATACTTTTATATGGAGCCTTTATCTGATGCTGTTCATTTTTAAAATAGCAAACTCAAAATTATATTTGTACTACAGGTGAACTATTTGTTGTGCTCTTAGTATCTTATTTTTTGAAAGGTGAATTAACTACTCTGTATTATCTCTTTTTCCAGGCAGAAGAAGTAGAGATGTATTTGGAAAAACTTAAGGAAAAAAGAGGCTTGTCTGGGAGATATCAAACGTCATCAAAATTGTTCCAGAACTGCAGTGAACTCTTTAAAACACAGGTAATCTTTGCAAGTGGTTGGAGGTAAATAGAATAGGTAAAAAATGGAATGTCTGTATTTTTGGCTGTATCCTCTCCCACTCCTCAAGTATTTCTTTTGGTAGAAGTAAGTGGAAGCATGTTCTGATAGGTACATAGTAAGCCACTTACATACTCAACTCATCAAAGAGAGATTGTATTTTCCTTTGTGTGTAAAAAGCAAACCCCCATTTTTTTTTAATGTGGTAAAATATACACTACATAAAATTTACCATTTTAACCATTTCTAAGTGTATAATACAGTGGCATTAAGTATATTCACATTGCTGTGCAGCCATCAACCCGTCTCCATATCTCCAGTACTTTTTTTTTTTTTTCCAAGGCAGAGTCTCGCTCTGTCCCCCAGGCTGGAGTGCAGTGGTGCAATCTTGGCTTACTGCAGTCTCCACCTCCGCCCGGGGTCCAAGCAATTCTTTCGCCTCATCCTCCCAAGTGGCTAGGGCTATAGGTTCACACCGTTACACCTGGCTAATTCTTTTTGTATTTTCAGTAGAGACAGGATTTCACCATGTTAGCCAGGGTGGTCTTGAACTCTTGACCTCAAGTGATCTACCCACCTTAGCCTCCCGAAATGCTGGGATTACAGTTGTGAGCCACCGGGCTGAGCCCCATGTCTAGTACTTTTATCATCCCAAACTAAAACAGCATACCTATTAAACAAAAATTCCCCACCCTCCAACCCCAAGTCCACAGTAACCACTCTTCTACTATCCATGAATTTGACTATTCTAGATACCTCATATAAATAGAATCATACAACTTTTGTGTTTTTTTTTTGTCTGACTTCTTTCACTTAGCATAATGTTTTTAAGGTTCATCCATGTTGTAGCATTATCAGAATTTCATTCTTTTTTAAGGCTAAATGATGATTTATGGTATGTATGTACCACATTTTGTTTTTCCATTCATCTGTTGATAGACATTTAAAACCTCACATTTTTAATTCTCTGGTCTCCTCATCTCGTTAATATGTTCCTAGAAAAATCAGGTCTTTAAAATTTTACTGCTATAGATCTGAAATCAGAAGGGTATCATCATTGTCTTAAAGTTCAATTTCACACCTTAATTTTGTAGAAAGAGGGAGATGTGAATAATCATATATTTTTCACGCTTACATATATGTAATGTAAGTGGGATTCTGATATGAAATTTTGTCTTAGAAATAGTAATCTAATACCAATTTTTTTGATATAAAAGTTTTATATGTGTTAAAAATAGTTACAGTAATTATCATCTATACTTGTCCTTACTATATTTAAAAATTGTTTTGGAATATTTAGCAGCTTGCCTTGAACTGTCAAATTACTGGAAGTAAAGTTTATTCTTAAGAAGACAAATTTAATCATTGAATTGTAATTGAGGCTGGACATGGTGGCTCAAGCCTGTAATCCCATCACTTTGAGAGGCTGAGGTGGGCAGATCACCTGAGGTCAGGAGTTCAAGACCAACCTGGCCAACATGGTGAAACCCTGTCTCTACTAAAAATACAAAAAAAATTATCCGGGCGTGTAATCCCAGCTACTCGGGAGGCTGAGGTGGGAGAATCACTTGAACCCAGAAGGCTGAGATCGTGCCACTGCACTCCAGCCTGGGCAACAAGAGTGAAACTTGGTGTCAAAAAAAAAAAAAAATTGATAGTTGGTGAGCAGATGAAGTAATTGGTAATTGAAGGAAGAGTTCAGCTTTTATTATAACTTAGGTTTTATGATCTTGAAGGGAGAAGAAAATAGCTTTAAGATGGTGAAAGAATGGTAGAGAAAGCTAGAAACAATGTGATGTTGTGTAGTTTGTATGTTTTCTGTTGGTTTTCCAAATTTATCCCTTAGACTAGGAGGATTGGTTGGTCTTTCCTGGATTTGATTATGGAAAGCTACCTGTTGCCTCTGGTTGCCTGAGGCTGACTACTTTCAGATGTGCTATAATCTTTCCGGGGTCTTGGCTTATTGATAAGGTTTCCTCTCCTCCTCCAGTCTAATGTAACAGGTTGAATTACACAATCTCATTACTCAGGAAGGAGAATGCCTTATCTACCGATAATTGGTAAGAAAGATAATTAGTGTAGTTTTTTACAGGCATGAAATGTAGTGCGGTGGAAGGGACAGCAGACCTAAGTGTCAAGAATATTAGGTTTAGGCTGGGCGCGGTGGTTCACGCCTGTAATCCCAGCACTTTGGGAGGCCGAGGCAGGTGGATCACAAAGTCAAGAGATCGAGACCATCCTGGCTAACATGGTGAAACCCCGGCTCTACTAAAAATACAAAAAAAATTAGCTGGGAGTGGTAGTAGGCACCTGTAGTCCCAGCTACTCGGGAGGCTGAGGCAGGAGAATGGCGTGAACCTGGGAGGCGGAGCTTGCAGCGAGCCAAGATCGTACTAGTGCACTCCAGCCTGAGCGACAGAGCAAGACTCCATCTCAAAAAAAAAAAAAAAAGAATATTAGGTTTAAATCCTATTTCTTTGTCTAAAGCTTTGTAGTTTTGAACCACATTTTACTCACCTGTAAAATGAGGGGAAGTGATCTAAGATTCTTCTAAGTATACTTCCTGTATCTAAGACTTTGTCATTCTTAAATGTTTATTATTCTCATAGAAAAATTGAATGGCCGTTTTGGTTTGATACTATTTTCTAGCTCCCAGCAGGGTTTTATTCACTTGTTTGTGGTTAATTGGAAATGTTTTGTCTACTGATGCTGTGTTATTATATTTACTAGTTAGGGTGTGGTGTTTTGTTTTAACCATTTCTTTGTATTTTCAGCTACACTTTTCTTCTAGTATTTACACACCTTTAATTTTTTTAGTTTTGTGTTTCTTTTATAGAGCTTTTCTGGAGATTTTATGCATCGACTGCCTCTTTTAGGAGAAAAACAGGAGGTAATTGTTTTCTTTATATATTTCTGAGAGTCCAGTAAAACCTTTGGCAGTGCAGGAGACACCCGTGCTCACTACATCTCCAGGGAGGGAGTGCTGCACCTGGGGAGCAGGCTCAGACAGAGGCTACAGGAACTTGGGCAGCTAAAAACAAGAAGTTCTGAATTAATTATTATTATTTTTTAATATTTAAAGGCTAAGGAGAATGGAACAAACCTTACCTTTATTGGAGACAAAACTGTAAGTATATTTGGGGATTTGGGGCATTGAACACATATTTTAGTTTTCTTATATTCATATATTTTTGAATTGTTCTCCCATATTATGCTAACATTTGAAAAGAAAGTTAAGTCTGGAAGTTATAGACCAAAATCTTAAAAATGGTTGGATCTCTGGATGATAACCATGAGTGATTTTTAGTTTCTTCTTTGTGTTTTCTGTATATTTTCTCCTGTACGTCTGTATTGCTTTTATAATTATCCCTCAATACTTATCTGTAAACAGGAAGAAACTTATTAAAAATAAGAACTCTTAAACTTCATCTAAAATTATCTGTGATAAAATATAATTGAAAGAGAGTTTGGAAAATTGAAATAAGGTCTAAAACTGTAAATATGCCTTAAGTTTTCATAAATATGCATTGTATGGATACTATTTTCAAATTCATAATAACTAATCCCTTAAAACATCACCAGTTAAAAATTTAGAGGAAGGATAACAGCTATCAGTGTTGGATTATGGTTTTTATAAGGCTGATTAAAGTTTTTAATTTTATAACAACCTTATGAAGGTATAGTATACATATGACAGAAGTTATGTTTTGTTTTGTTTTGTTTTGTTTTTTGAGACAAGCTCTCACTCTTGCCCACGCTGAAGAACAGTGGTGTGAACATGGCTCCCTGCTGCCTTGACCTCCTGGGCTCAAGTGATCCTCTTGCCTCAGACTCCCAAGTAACTGGGACCACAGGCACATACCGCCATGCCTGGCTAATTTTTAAAAATTTTTTGTAGAGATTGGGTCTCACCATGTTGCCCAGGCTGGTATGGAACTCCTAGGCTCAAGTAATCATTTCACTTCAGCCTCCCAAAGTGCTAGGATTATAGGTGTGAGCCACTGCGCCCAGCCTAAAAGTTATTGTTAAAGTTATTATATTAAAGCATATAATTTAGTGGTTTTTAATATTCTCAAGTTGTGCAAGCACCACTCAAAGTCTAGTTCCAGAATTGTTCATTGTCCCCAAAAGTAGCCCCATACTCATTATCAGTCACTCCCCATTTTTCCTGCCCCCAGCCTCTGGCAATCAGTAATCTATTTTCTATCTCTGTATTTGCCTTTTCTGGACATTTTATATAACTGAAATCATATAATGCATGGCCTTGTGTCTGGCCTCTTTCACAGTTTACACTTTGTCTTAACTTTTACTTCCTGCTTGCACAGAGCCTTAAGATCAGCTAGCGAGTGATTAGGGCCTTCTCTGGTCTCTCCTGGACCTGTGCACAGCCCTGGGCATATGGCCTTCTAGATTTCCAGGAATATTTTGGAGCTTCCCAAAGTCCCTGTGGACATCCCATTCTCCAGTTTTTCCTTTTAAGTTTCCAATCAGCCTCTTAGTAGCCCCGGTTGGTAATGTCACCTCAGGCAGCTGTGATCTTGAAGGATTGCTATTCAGTGTGTTTGGCAAATGCTTTGAGTACAGGGCTGTTGACACTAGGTGATCTCTGAGTCAGGTCAGATAAAGACAAGCCCTGAGAATGGAGCTTTTCAGCAATTTGCCAGACAGCTCAGGTGATCAGTCTTTTAGGGACCTCCAAATTTGTTTTTTCCTTTGGGAGGCCTACGTGAGCAGATCATTTGAGGCCAGGAGTTTGACACCACCCTGGCCAACATGGTGAAACTCGTCTCTGCCAAAAATACAAAAATTAGGCAGGCATGGTGGTGCACATCTGTAATCCCAGCTACTTGGGAGGCTGAAGCAGGAGAATCACTTGAACCAAGAAAGTGGAGGCTGCAGTGAGCTGAGATCACACCACTGCACTCCAGCGTAGGCAACAGAGTGAAACTCTGTGTTCCCTTCCCCTGTCCCCTTTGCCCAGTGGCTGCTAAGCTGTTGTTTTTCTCAGCTGTTAATGGTTTCAGCGATTTTGGTTTTAAGGAACTTGAGAGAGAGGGATGGGATTAGGGTGAACACAGACATCTCAAGCTTGCTTTTCTTTCCTAGATTCAGTTGCCTTTCTCGAAGAAACATTTCTTGTATTGTTGAAAGACTTTAATTAATTTCCAAAGTTCCAAAAGTTGATTTTGATAGTTTTTGCCAGTGTTTTTGTTGCTTTTATAGATGAGATTTTCAGAGTTTCTTATTCTGCCATTCTGAAAGTATTCTCACTACCCAAACCCCAGTTTTATTTATACAGAATTTTAACTGAAAGTAGGTTAGGCATGACAATCTTTGTTAATTTTTTTAAACAAAAGATAGCCGTTAGGACTGGGTGCAGTGGCTCACGCCTATAATGCCAACACTTTGGGAGGCCAAGGTGGGCAGATCACTTGAGGTTGGGAGTTTGAGACCAGCCTGGCCAACGTGGTGAAACTTTGTCTTTACTAAAAATACAAAAATTAGTTGGTCATGGCGGTAGGCACCTGTAATCCAAGCAACTCGGGAGGTTGAGGCAGGAGAATCACTTGAACTTGGGAGGTGGAGGTTGCAGTGAGCTGAGATCACGCTACTGCACTCCAGTCTGGGTGACCAGTGAGATTCCATCTCAAAAAAAAAAAAAAAGATACTCATTGGATTTTCTCTTACTAATAGGCATATATTCACTGTGAAAATGGAGATGAAATGAATGAAAAGAAGAAAGTAGTAATCTATAATACCATGCAGTGATGTATTTATTTTCCTAGTCTTTTGTATATGGGCATGTTGATATTTATTTTAAAAAGGGGATCTTACAGTATGTATTATATGACTTTTTTTGTAGCTTAGCAATATAACATGGACATCTCTTCAGTTTGGTAAATATTGTATTACATTGTTACTTAAATGCTTGTATAGTGTCTTATTGTATGAGTACATTGCAATTTGTTCAGTTCTCTATTCTTGAACATTTATGAGTTTCATTATCTTGGAATTTTATGCAGTGTTGTGATTAATATTTTAACTACATTTACTTTTAAGTCTTTATTTTCTAATCTCTGAAGAATTGTATATTGGGATAAGTTTTTAATTCTATAACTTAAAAGTAAAAATCCTTTGTAATTTTATGTTCTAATAGTTTGCGTTTGGTGTGATTACACAGAACACATGCATATTAACCAAAATAAGATCATATTATACACCGTTGTATAATTTTTTATTTTTACTTCCAAATTGGTACATTGAATACTACTTCACCTTTTCATGGCTGCTTAGTGTTCCATTTTATTATGATTTTAATAATTAACTCCCAATTGATGAATATTTGGGTTGTTCCCAAATTTACCCTGTTATGGATAAGGTCATGTTCATAATGTGTAGCTGTATCTCTGTGTACATTTATAGTCTTTAGGCTAAATTCCTGGAGGTAGAATTGCTAGGTCCACATGTATGCACAGTTTAAAAGCTCTTTTTTGTAGCAATTTATGGCCCCAAGAAAGTGAGAGTGTCTTAGTTTGTTTATGTTGCTATGGAAGGACACCTGGAGCTGGGTAATTTATTAAAAAAAAGAGGTTTATTTGGCTCACTGTTCTGTGGGCTATCAAAGAAGCATGGGGCCGGCATCTGTTTCTAGTGAGGGCTTGAGGCTGCTTCCACTCATGGTGGGAGGTGAAGGGGGGAGTCTGTGTGTGCAGGTCACATGGCAAGGGAGGAAGAAGGAAAGAGGGAGGAGGAGGAGAGGACATAGTGGACTCTTTTTTAATAATCAAGGAAGCAATAGAGGGAGAAGTCATTACTGAAAGGACAGTGGCACCAAGCCATTCATTAGGGATTGGCTCCGTGACCCAAACACCTCTCTCTAGATTTCACCTCCAACCCACTGGGGATCAAATTTCAAAACGAAATTTGGGAGGACAGATATCTAAACCATAGCAGTGAGTTTCCATCTTTCCTCACAAAAACAATGGCTGTCATTTAAAATAGATTTTATGCAGTTTGTCTAGTTAAGCAATAATTTGTTGTTGTAAATTATATTTAAAAAATTATTGTTAAGCCAGGCGCTGTGGCTCACGCCTATAACCCCAGCACGTTGGAAGGCCACAGCAGGCGGATCGCTTGAGCTCATGAGTTTAAGACCAGCCTGGGCAATATGGTGAAACCTTGTCTCTACAAAAAATGATGGAAAAATTAGCCAGAAGGTGGCAGGTGTGCCTGTAGTCCCAGCTACTTGGTTGACTGATGTGGGAGGATGGCTTGAGCCTGGGAGGCAGAGATTGCAGTGAGCCAAGATCACACCACTTCACTCTAGGCAATAGAGCCATACCTTGTCTCAAAAACAAAAACAACAACAAAAAAATTATTGTTGAAGGTGAACATTCATTTATATGGATATTGGCTCTTGTGCTTTCTTCATTTGTCTTCTGTGCACAGCATACTTTGAGTTCTATTCAAGGCTTGAGTCTTGTTACAGTGATTAAAACTGGCCGAAAGGTGACCCTGTTGAATACCACAAGTAATATTTAGGAATACTTAGTCAAAATATAGTCAAAAGAAATGAAAGAATTAACTATCTTTTGATCTTTCTTCCTGAAAATTTGGTCCAAGGCAAATACCTTATAATCCTATTTAAAGGATATTCACAGGCTGGGTTCAGTGGTAATGTCCGCATTTTTGAGGCCCAAAGTGGGTGGATCACTCAAAGCCAGGGTTTGAGACCAGTCTGGTCAACATGGCAAAACCCTGTCTCTACTAAAAATGCAAAAATTAGCTTGGTGTGGTGGGGTACATCTGTAATCCCAGCTACTTGAGTGCTTGAGGCCTGAGAATCACTTGAGCCCAAAAGGCACAGGTTGTAGTGAGCTATGATTGCACCACTGCACTCCAGCCTGAGTGACAAAATGAGACTGTCTCAAAAAAACAAAAAGGATACTCACAAATTCAGTACCTCCATCCTATTTCATTAAAGCTCTGGTTAAATATATATGTTTATGGGCCGGGTGTAGTGGCTCACACCTGTGATCCCAGCACTTTGGGAGGCCAAGGTGGGTGGATCAGCTGATGTCAGGAGTTCAAGGTCAGCCTGGCCAACGTGGTGAAACCGCATCTCTA